AGGGGGGGGGGGGGAAACAATGGGTCTAGTGGTTAAGGTAAGTGAACTAGTCTCTTCCATTTGGGAGAGACTAGTTCAACTCCCTGCTCTACCATGGTCTCACTTCACGACCCTGTGCACGTCACCTAGGCCAGATTAAAAACAAAACAAAAAAAGGAAGCAGACACCTAAAAATCAAGCTTAAGCAGACTGCAAGCACTCAAGTCCAAAACTGCCATCCAAAAGATGTCCCCACTAAGCATGCACTCTGGTGTTCAAGTGTCTTCTGATTCCAACTGCCTCCCCGTTTTTGATCTGAAAGTTCCCTGGCACCCATCTGACATAAACGGTGCACACGCAAACTTCTGCAGTTTAAGTCCTGTAAGAGTCCCAATCTGTGGGCATGCTCCAAGCATACCTCATCTTTACCAATGGCATAAAACACAGCAGTCACACTTTAATTAATTATTAACAAAGGATGAGCACTTCCAGCACCTCCATCTCCCTGCAGCCATGTCTTAAACACCAAGGTGGTGTGCTCACTTCGTTCAAAGAGGCTTTGTAGGTGTTACTCTCAGGAGTGGGCTATTGACTCTGGATCCCACATGTACAAGAGGTAGGTTGGGAGTTGAGATTACACCTGTGCTTTGCATTGGTTAGCTCTAGGCAGCTATCCATTCAGCTCCAAATCTTGAAAAGCTAGCTTCTGGGGTGGCTATGTACTGTACAAGTAGTACAGGTGACTGATTATGGAGTCTGCATTCCACACATGACACAGAGGTGTTCCAGTCCTACTTTATATCTGGCTCTGAACCACTGTATGCTTCAATTCCCTAACTAACCTCTTGGGCTTATTCCAAAATCTTTAAAGATTATGAAGCACTTACATACTATACTAGCAGGCATAGGATAAACTGCAAAGATGAAAGGAGCTATGAATCTCTGCAACAGGAACAAAATTACAATAGACTCAACACATTCTCTAAATGACAGCAACCATGAAAGAAACAAGCCTGAGCTGTAAGAAAAGAACAAATTGTTAGACTTCAAAAAAGGTACAAAATGCTTCAAGTACCTGCTAGGAAAAACAAATAAAAATTAAATTAAATAAAAAAAAAATTAAATTAGCACATTTTATGCACAGAAAAGTAAAAAAAAAGATAGCAGGCTGAGAAAAATCATATGGATGAGTGAGCACAGGAAGGCCAGAACTGTGTCAAAAAGATTCCTGACCAAAGATGCTCAAAAAATTAAAATTAGGATCCATCTTTAGGTTGAACTCTGCTTCATTACGCAGGGAAACTATAGATTAATACCAAGTGAATCAAACAGTCACTCAATGCAAAGATTAAAATCCTTATCATGAACACGAAAATTCTTGGATTTAACATTCAGCTTTGCCTTTTACCATACCATAATGCCAGCTACTTGACAATGTGAGAGCTCTCTCTTTTCATCTATCATCTCCCTACATGGAGACATTATCCAATTCTTCAACAAACAGATATCTTCTAAACTTATAGCTCCCTAGGGTAATATAAAACAAGCTATTCAGACAAAAAAAAATCCATTGATCTGCTATTAATCAGAAAAAAAAAAAATTCACAGAATCATAGGAAGTTAGGGTTGGAAGGGACCTCAGAAGGCCATTTAGTCCAGCCCCCTACTCAAATCAGGACCATCCCAACCAAAGCTTTGTCAAGCCAGGTCTTTAAAACCTCCAAAGATGGAGATTCCACCACCTCTCAGGATAACCTGTTCTAGTGCTTTACTACCCACCTTGTTATATTTCCCTAATATCTAACCTAAACTACCCTTGCTGCAACTTGAGACCATTGTTCCTTGTTCCATTATCTGCCACCACTGAGAATAGTCCATTGTCTTTTGAATCACCCTTCAGGTAGTTGAAGGCTGCTATTAAATCCTGCCCCCCTCCCCCCACACTTCTCTTCTCCAAACTAAACAAGCCCAGTTCCCTCAGTCTCTCTGCAGAAGTTGTCACATGTTCCATCCCCCTAACCATTTTCACAGCCCTCCACTGGACTCTCTCCAGTTTGTACATGTCTTTTCTGTAGTGGGGGGCCCAAAACTGGACACAGTACTCCAGATGTAGCCTCACCAGTGTCAAAGAGGGGAATATGCTCTTACTAATGCAGTTCAGTATACTGCTAGCTATCTTCATGAGTGCACACTGTTGGGAGACTCCTCTTTGAATACCGTTCTAAGTAAATCTTTCATGGTGAGCTCCAAGTTATGACTAGCAATAACCCTATGTCTGCTTAGTAACAGCAGCAACATTGTTGCAAGTCATTTTAATTCATTGTCTATGGCATGCTCTTATGATGAAATTTATAGCGTAAAATAATTTCAAATTTATCACCCAAATTGGTTCATATCTTCTTATTAATTTATATTTAGTGTGGGGTTTAATTTTACTTTTTTTAAAAAACACACCAACAAAAAATCGTTTTCTTAGGGCCCCTCTACACACCCAGGTAAAGGTACAATGGGATCTAATGCATGATCCACACAATTGTGCCTCCTGCCCAAAGACAGCCTTAGGGAAAATGGCACCCTGTGTGAATTTGTATTTTGGTGCTCCCCCTGGCTCCTTCCCCGCCCCTCCCCAAAGTCAGCAGAGCTGCTGAAAGCAAGGGCAGTGACAGAGTCTACCAGAAAGGCAGTCACCCACACTGCCTGGCCTGGCCTGGCCCCTCCTAAGCAGCAGCAGGGCTTGCAGCAGGGCCAGCCTTCTTCCCGGTGACCCCCTCCTCCCACCCCATGAGGCTCACAGCAGCAGCAGTGTTCTTCCCACTGCCAGCCCCGCACCTCACAGGATTCACAGGGGAGGCAGCACTGGGAACACTGCCACCCCTGCAAGCCCTGTCAGCTGCACAGCTGGGGCACAAGGGATCACATCTGGCCACATTCAATTAGTCGCAGGATAAGATCAAGCTATAAAGTTATTAAACATTTTACATGGGATAACTTTGTAGTTTTTGCTTGTTTTATCATGCCATTAATTGTTTGAATGTCTAGCTAGGTCACAATTTAAGGCATGATTGCCTGGTAAATCACACCTGAAGTCTAATCTGTAGATGGGACCTTAGAATGCTGAACAGAACGCAAAAATGCTTTTGACATCTGAAAACTTTACATTTATGTAAAATAATTCAGAAAGGTTTAAATAGATTATGACTGACTGATTTTTAATCAGATTTCTTATCAAGGAAAGTTTTAAAAGTGTCACTTATCAGAAGTAAAGCCTCATCGGGAAAAAAAAATCCTGCTATGCTATCTGCCAACTGAACAACTTTTCCTATTGTGCATGGAGCTTAAAGAAAAGTTGTTAGCTTGAAAAAAAAGTGAACTCAACAAGATGTGGAATAACCATTCTGCAAATGAGGATTACGAATAAATTCTCCAGTACTATGAAAATAAGTTACAACAAGATGTCTAGGTTTTACAAGAGGAAGCATGTTCATGTACTGTGAAATTCTGTGGAATGTATGCAGAATACAAATTCCAGGCCCCACAAAAACTAAATACAGTCTTGCAAGTGGAGAATAAAGTGCATTTAGCAAGGTAGAGATTCAACCATGGCAGATCAAGAGTCCTTGTAAACAATTGCTTTTTTGGTTTATTTGTCATTCTGTCTAGATGCATCAACTACAATGTTTAAGACATTTAAAGAGAGAGAGCTACCTATCTTCTTGAACATTTCAATCATTTAACCTGCTTGTTAACTGGGTATTTTTTAGGAAGTGGAATTACTGAAGAATGCTAGTACTTAGAGGTGTACGGATACATCGGTTCAATATCAGATCAGCACCGATATAAAGAAAATTGATTGTATAGGAAAATCAGCCTGATGTGGCCGATAACTTGACTGATAAATGCCTGTTCATGTACCCAAAGTCGGGGGGGGGGGGGGGGGAAGGAAGACAGATCAAGGCCTCCACAGGAAGGAAAGAAGGGAGGCTGGGGCAAGCACTACCCAACCAGGGTGGTGCAAGCGTGGAACAGAGCCGTGGCTCATCCAGGGGGCGTAGGGGGGATATTTGCATCAGCCCCTAAAATCTCCATCAATGCACCCCTACTACTAGTATTCATGATGAAAATAAGCAGCTTACTAAATCGATAGTTTAATAATAATACAACCCACATAAGTAGTTTATTTCAACACCATTTACTTGATTTAAGCCTAAATGTGGTACTAGTAAACAAGTGAGTAGTTCACCATCATAAACAAATGCAAGCCATCAGGACTGTGAAGTTCTTAAGGCTGGCTAACTATCCTAAGATTTTGCACCTCCTATTTCAAAGAGGAAGTCCAATACAGAAAAACTCCTAAAGACAGATGAGATTTAGCAAACAAAATCCATTCAGGAGGGAGAAGAAAAAAAAATGTGGCAACTTGATCTTAGCCAAGAGGACAAAGAAGCAATTGGCATTAAGCCGACAAAACAACAGCTTGCAACGGAGCATGGGGGTTGTCAATACTTCTAGAAAGAGCTAGAAATTTAAGAAAAGGAAGTAGAAAAATAATTTAGCCTGAACGTGCATTTTGGAGTTTCAAATTAATATTGATACTGTACTTCAGGCTAGCTTCCTTGACTCTCATCACTTAACAGGCTTTCACTTCGATTTGCATTCTCTCTCTGCTGTGGAGCTGCTTTTACTTACTGATTGAGCTGTGTGCTGACAATTTATTTCAAGATGCACTGTAGGTCAAAGCCCACACAAGAAATGTTTTTTTCAGGTCATCTGCCAAACAAAAATGTAGGATCACATAGCATAGAGAAATGTACAGCACAAAGAAAACTAAGGGAGCCTTTTTTACCTTTTACAGTGATGAGGGAACTTTTCCCATTTCCCTTACCCATCAGAAACTTAAGTAGACAATAAAAGCACCCAGAAGACAGCTGTGTTTTCAGTACCCTAACCCTCATGAGCACAAATTGTCTTCTGCAAATCTTAGAAAATTAATGCTGCTTCAAATAGTTACATCCCTCTTCAGAGTCAAAAGGCCAGAGCTGAGCTAAAGAGATGGAGACACCAAGGGTGCCCGTTAAAGAGCACCTTGACGATGGCGGATTCCCAGGAATTGCACCTGTCTTTGACCCCTGCAGCCTTTTTGGATCTTCCCAAACAAGTCCTGTTTATTGTGAAAGATAGCAGAGAATATATGTTGACTCTACAGCAAGTTTGCTCTCTCATGCACACCTGAACAACAGGCTAGCATTTGAGCTGTACTTGGGTTAACATATTTCATTATGGATGACCGACGATGGGAATAAGGTATATATTCAAAACCTAACATCTAAAAATCAAGTCTTTACTCAATTCAAGGAACAAAACAAATGGCAATACCTCAATATATCCATCAGTGTAGTCTGCATATAATTCTTTTATCTTAAATATAAATGGACATTGCTTAATCTGCATCTGCCAACACAAATGAACAGTTTTACCTGTTCCCTGAATCATCATCTGTAAAGTGCTGCTGTGATTTTTTTTTTATACCACTTGCACAAAGACACTGGCAATTGGCATTAGATTCTAGCTGCTAGTCTCTGCCCTTGTGGTTGGAAAGAATGGTGACATTACTGGCACAGAAATATGAAGAGAAAGGGGGTCTCTAGAATACAGTAAAAGGAACGAAGTGAAGGGACAGCATGGCAAAAGGGAATGTTCTGTGCTGTACTATTCCCCACCTCCCACAGATAGTTCTTCATCTCAAATACTGTCCACACAGGCACTCTCTTATTTGAAATCACATTTACCATGTATTAAATAATACCAATTAGAACTCAGCTTTTCAGCTTTAAAACATTTCCTTCTTCATCTCAGCTTCTAAATAATAGCATTTCCAAGTTGAGTTAATCTCTAAATAATCTCAGTACTTTATTGTCCAGCAAATGGCTTTTGGTCACCAGAAGATCTCACCCACATTCAGCTTTCTTCAGCCACTTGATAATTTAGGAATTACATTTGAGTACACTATGAAACTCCTACTTTACAAAAGATGGGCTAGTATATTTTATAATGGATGACTCATAACAGGAATGAGGTACACATTTAAAACTTAAACTCTAAAAATTGAGTCTTCAAGATGCGTCTTTTCCATCACTACCCATATGCGATTGTAGCCTAGCTGCAAAATCTCACATAGTTTAACAGAATGGCCAACTTCCAATTAAACAGTGCCTAACACAGCAATGTTGACTAATAATTAAGTATTAAGTGGAATGAAAGCATAAAAATACACATGCACACAAAACAAACTCACAGGTAATGGGTTCTAAATCTGCATACACGTAGGAAAAAAATATATCAATGTTCTCCTACTCAAGTCTTTCTAAACCACAGGGAATATTTCTTCCAATTTGTACAGCCAAATTTATAATCCCCTTGTAGGAAAGGATCATAGCATGGGATAAATCATTTGGAGAAGAAGGATCACTGTGCATAATATGCCTGAGGGCTAAAATCTGTAGTAAAAGGGGAAATGTCTTTGTACTGTAGAATTCTTGATCTTTTGATACCCACATTATTAGCTGTCACTAGAGCAATGCACAGTTCACTTGAAAATCTTTTGCTAGCATCTCTGTACATTGTTACAAACCGTTTCCACTTGCATACTATTAACATGATCATTTTTTAAAATATACCCATGTCTGATCACAGACGCTTCCAATGCTCTATACTCAAAACACCAGTAGATTAAGCCGCATGTTTAAATTCAAAGTCATAAAGGGTATTTGTTTGTTTCACAATACCCCTCTTCTATTATTCTACTGAACCATAACACCCAAGCTTCTATTTTTATTACACTCTCATTGCCAAAACCATTTGTAATCTGTTTCAATATGCAGGTTTTTGTAACTAGCTAGTAAATACAACATTTATTTAGGTACACTTCAATCATATTTATTTAGATGCATCTTCTCTATAATAATCTAAATCTGATTTTAAGGATTCTTCACATACATAATTTTAATGGTATTTACTAAAGTGAAAAGGCTCTTAGTTTTCACAATAAATAAAATAGTGAGTTACAACAAAAGAGATGCAATCTGGAAGAAATAGAGAATTAGAGAGGCAGTTCTCCAGTTGTTTCAGCCACAGAAGGTTCCCAGCACTTGATAACAAGGCCTCAAAATCCTTGGCAACAAACCAAACAGCACAGTATCATTCTTTTTAATGCTTCTCAGATGCCATTTCTTAAATTACTGAAAAAGCCTTTGAATAAAACTCCAAACAAAATTAATCTGGCTGTCAACCCTGACTAGTCAAGGACCACAAAACTGATAATGGAACCCCACCCCTCCAAATTGGCAGGGCAAGGCAGAAGCATATTACTAGAATTTAAGAAGAAAAAAAAAAGTTACATGCACACACACGTGCAAATACCGACCCGTTTCAAGGACAGGTATCTATACTGCGACATCTAAGTCCTTTTCTCATGGTAAGCACTCTTATGCAAAATCTTGAATCAAAAAAACACCTTACTTTAAAGAATTCTTCCATCTTTCTGATAGATTGTCAGTGTGAGTCTGTTTATGAATAGTTAATACTGCAATTTATTTTTTGAGAGCACCAGCATGAACACAGGCGACACCACTTTGAAAGAAAAACTAAATACGTGCACTCAGCAAAACTGCTACTCAAATTTGGGGCTGTCAGCTTCCACAGCGTAACTGTTAACACCACGGCTACATTCAGAGAAGTGAATTTTTTTAATTCATTCTAGCTGATGGATGCTTTGAAGCCAGCAGTTTGTGCAAGCATTAGTTATGCTGTGTCAGTTGTAAAAAGCTATTAATGTGGCATTCTAGGGTTCCAGCATAACTGAGTGATTTGCATTCTATCTTTTGAAAATCAAATTGCTCAATTCAGTTGTCACAAAAACAAACGTGGAAAAAACCCAAATATTGTTTTGCTTATAGACGACATACAACCTCATTATAAATAAAACACCCCCACTTTTGAAAATCCCCACCAAGCAGGAACGCAAGTTCTTATGCTATGAATTGAGTAAATCCTATTATATTAAATACCCCATTTTAATGAAGTCTCAAGACCATGAGTGCCCATTATAAGAAAGCTGTACAGTATACAGTGCCATTTTTGTATAATTTTAAAAATACCGGGGTCAATATAAAAATCGCCCTCATTACCACAATAAAGTGTATCTGTAAATATATATATCCAGAATATTCTCTCTCTCTATAGATATAGAGGAAGAAAAAGAAAATATTCTGGATTCTCTATATAGACTCATAAAATATGAGAGCTATTAGCGTATTAGTCCATTGTCTGAAGGAAATTTTCACATACCAGTTGTGAACCATCAACTTCTGCACAGCCAATAGTGCATTATAGCGAACCTGTTGGTCTTCATGATGCATGTGGTTCATTACTAGCTGTTTACCACCAAGTTGCTCTATCACTCTGAAAGACAGAAAGAGGGGGGATATCTTAGAACATTTTGCAATTACTTAAGGTCTCCAATTGGCTAATCTGATAAGCCCATGTACTTAATCCCACAGGATTTAAAAACCAAGTTTCTCAATTACGCGTGCGCACACACTTCTGCACAGCCTATAGTGCATTATAGCAAACCTGTTGGTTCTCACGATGCATGTGGCTCATTACTAGCTCAAAATTAGTGTGTGCACATACACGTGCACTGAAGATTCACTGCTGAGAAACGAACAAGAACTTTTGAGGCAGAATACATGGCTGGATATAACTGTAGTCATCATTGCTTCAGCCTACCTCAATCTTTACTCTCAACAATTATCAACTACAGGCACACCTCGGAAATCTTGCGGGTTCGGTTCCAGACCACCGCAATAAAGCGAATCACATGAATTTTTTGGTTTCCCAGTGCATATAAAAGTTATGTTTACACTATACTGTAGTCTATTAAGTGTGCAATAGCATTATGTCTAAAAAACAATGTACATACCTTAATTAAAAAAATACTTTATTGCTAAAAAATGCTAACCATCATCTGAGCCTTCAGCAAGTTGTAATCTTTTTGCTGGTGGAGGTTCTTGCCTTGATGCTGATGGCTGCTGACTGATCAGGGTGGTGGTTGCCGAAGGTTGGGGTGGCTGTGGCAATTTCTTAAAATAAGACAACAATAAAGGTTGCCACAAACCTTCAATTTGTAAAAAACGCAATATCTGCGAAGTGCAATAAAACGAGGTATGCCTGTACTCCCAAAATAAGGAAGTACAGACTACTCAGTACATTCTCACACCACGACTGTGCTTTGCTAACTCTCCCTGTTCAGGCTTAATGCTGTCGCCATCAGAAGGGAGGTGGACAACTCCTCCTGCTTTCCAAAGAGCGAGTATGGGGAGACTCTTGGACTGCTCAAAAAATTTTTGAGGCTCATTCCCACACATCTTCGCCGTGCTGCTCTTAAAAATTCCACCAGGGATTTTACTCTCAGATAGCAGAAGGCTGTCACTCATCTTACCTTTGCCCCAGGCCCAGCCAAATCAATGAAGTGGAGCAGACCTATCTTGCTGCTGACCTTGTAAATTTTTAACCGTTCATGAAACAGTCTCATGCCAAAAGCTCTCCATAAAAACTAGTGGTTCTCAACCTTTATAGATCTGAGGTACCTCTCCGTAAGGTTTTTTATTATTTGACAGCACCCCAGTTGAGAATCACTTTTGCACTGCCTCATCTTACCTCAGTGCTCCTCAACCACAGTTGTGCTGCCACTGCTGTGGCGAGGTCAAACTGCCCCATGTATCTTGTGTGGAGCCAGACTGGGAAGGGCAGGAATGTATGCTTCCACCTGCATTAGGGTTATTGATAAATCTAAAGCAGGCAGGAGCATGTGTTTGTCCCATACACCTTGGTTTCTGGGAGGAGTGTGCAGGTCAGATCAGACCAGATCAGGAAATGCTGTGGTAAGAGCATGTGCTCCTGTTGTTTCTTGGTCTGGCTTCACGAGACACACTGGTTTCAGAGGCAGTAGTGGTGACACTTGTGCCATGGTAACCCCTGAAAAGCTCTCATGGTACCCCAGGGTGACAGCACTCTAGTTTGGAAGCCACTGCCAAAAATAAATCCCAAACTTACAAACTCTTGTTAGTACTGAAAAAACCCAGACCATTCCTAACTAATAGCTGCTCCAAGATCTGCTCCATGAATTCTACTGCCCTTCAACATAAAGGTGTGCTACTACCATGAATTAGAAGGGAGGAGTTGTCCTTTGAAAAAGGAGATGTGCCTTTGCAAGATAAAGTATCTGGCTGGTGGCTAGCACCTATCCCCACTTGAGAAAAGACACTTTAAATCTTTTAGCACAATTATACACTTCTGAGAATGACAATCAGTGCAACTATTCACGTGAACTTCCATTACTTCAAAACATTGATTATGGTACTGAGAACCTGATGACTTTGGTACAAGTATTTTTCTATTGTTGGGTTAACCAATGCCTTCATACTAAATAAAATACTAAATGTAGCAAGTTAGGTAGTCTTATATGCTGTCAGACTTTTTTTTTTTTTTTTTAATACAACCTTGAGTAAAATAACACTCTCTCTAGTGGTTTCACTCCTGCTACATAAAGATAGAAAGCCAAAGTCATTGGCAGCCTTGGCAGCTGTAGAAATAAATTTGAGAAGGATGATCCGAACACTTTAAAACATTAGCATTTCTCATTTTGCCTTTCTTTCCTCTGGAACACTCGCTATCAAGCCAGGTTCCATGGAACATTGCGGTTCCATGACACAGCATCAGGGGTTCCACAGAGAGACTGGGGGTAATGGCATGTTTGGTCAGCTGGCTCCATGTCATCTTGCAGGGCCCAGAGCCAAGAGTTTCTACTGCAACAGAATTTACATAAAAGGGTTCAGTGACTTTAGGAACTTGGAAAGCCACTGCTCTAGATAATATACATATGAAATGCTAATCAGAGTGGGGGGGGAGGAAAAAAACAAAACAAAACAAAAAACACACTCCTAGGCATTTGAGAAATTTGCTAGAGATCCTGGTACGAGAGAAGAAAACTTACTTATCAAAAGTAAGAGTTCAGCAATACCAGTTTGAGCTATATTAATATTGCTGATTTCAATGACTGACTAATTCAAGCACTCAACCTCGAGTCTATTTTCTTGGGAAATCTTACAAGGAAGATTTTTAAATGTTTATTGCAAAGTTTTACAACTGCCATGTCTTTGCAAGGCCAGAGGTACATTTAAACAGATGAATAAAATGAAGTATAACTCTTCTGGCATTTCTGTTTAGATGCATGCGATTCTACCATATTTACTGCCTAATGGTATTGATTTTCATTTACTAATTTATCTTGCTCTAGAATTTAAAGTCCACTGTATAGGTCAGTATTCAAGGATCAGTATTCTTAAGGCTTCCAAATTTCTAAATCTACCAGAATTTATCTGGAAAATCAGGTTGGCATTGCATCAGTCTAACTGACTGCAGATCTAGAAAATATTATATTAAACTGCAACAGGAAGATGTATTTCTTTACTGTACTTAAGATGGTAGGGACAAGAGGATTCATTAGCCACAGTCAGTGTATTTTATTGCTAATGTCTGCCCTGCAGAACTTAGCATGTCCTGTAGGGTATAGTCTTATCTATCATTTAGTGTAGTGAGCTGCTGGGATAATGACTTCCATATGCTGATGACACTCATGCCACTGTCTCCTATCACTAGGTATCACAGTATTGCTCTTAAGGACCCAATTAATGTCAATTTGTACCTGGCACAAGCATGCATATGACAGTTTACCAACAGATCCAAGCTATGCAAGTCAAAATGTCTAACAAGTAGCAGGCTTTTGAGAGCTAGAACATGTTTTTAACCCAGATAAATTAAAAATATTTCCTATAGTTTAAAAGAATGTACAAGAATTACTCTGAACACCTACTGAAGTACCTTACTGTCCCCAAAGCATTATATATTTCGTAATTTTTTTGTTCTAATACAAATTGATCTCACTGGACACTAACCACCACCGATTGGTGGCATTATGGCTCGTTACTAGGAACTTACCAAATACACAATTTCAACCAGCTATGTTCAAAAAGTCAGCAAAGAGCTAGCAAAAAGCTGTTTCCTAGAAGGGCAGGATGAGGGGGAAGGGAACAAAGAGAAAGAAAAAAGGCAGACTGCCCATCTCCTGAAGCAGGGCAGGGGAGAGAGGCAGGAAAAATTCCCCATCTTGTTTCCAGAAGGGGAGGGGAAAAGAGGGGAACCAGGGAAAAGCCTGCCAGTTGGTATTTTTTAAAATTCATTGTCTCTTGCTTGGTCACCTGGACAGAAGGGAAGAGGTTGATGTCATATATTTGGACTTTAAAGAAGCCTTTGACCTGGTCTCTCATGATGTTCTCATGGAAAAACTGGGAAACTGCAGCCTCAACTACTCCACAGGTCTGATGGCTGGGGAATTGGCTCCAAGGTCAGACCCGGAGAGAGTAGTAGTTGAAGGAACCGAATCAACATGGCACTTGGTGACCAGTGGTGTCCCCCAAGGCTCCGTTCTTGGACCTGTACTCTTTAATGTCTTCATAAAGAATCTGGACATCAGTGTCAAAGAGGGGATTGGCCAAGCTTGCTGACACCACCAAACTTTGGGGAAGTGTCTCCACACTTGAGGATAGGCTGGTGATAGGCTTGCAAGGTGGGCAGATGAAAAATCTTATGCCATTCAATAAGGAGAAATGCAAGGTGCTCCACCTCGGGAATAAAAAAACCCACATCACACTTAGGCTTGCCAATGCTACACTTGCTAGCATCATATCCAAAAAGAGACTTGGGGGTCATGATAGATCACAAGATGAATATGAGCCACCAAAGCAATACTGCAGCTGGCAAAGTCAACAAAAATACTCTGGCTTGCATCTACCGATGCATCTTGAGCAAGACCCATGATGTCATCCTCCTGCTGTACTCAGCCTTGGTGAGGCCGCAGCTGAAATATCGCATCCAATTCTGGGCTCCACAATTTAGGAAGGACATGGAGAAGCTTGAAAGAGTCCAGAGGAGAGCCATGGATATGATCAGAGGGCAAGAGAGCAAGCCTTATGATGATAGGCTGTGAGCTATGGGACCTCTTCAGCCGGGAAAAGCACAGGCTTGGGGGCAATTTGGTGACAGCCTATAAAGTATATAAGGGGTGTGCATCAGGATCTGGGGTTACACCTGGTCACCAGAGCACCCCAGGTCAAACAATCACAAACTCTTGCAAGACTGTTTTAAGCTGGCCATAAAGAAAAAATTCTTTCCCGTCTGAGCCCCCCAAGGTGGTGCAAACACCTACTCTGGACACTAGAAACATTTGGACATTTACTTTGCTGGGATCCTTTGACCCTAGCTGACTTCTTGCCCCTTGGGCAGAGGGGGCGGACCCAATAATCTTACAAGGTCCCTTCAGGCCCTAATGTCTATGAAATCTATGAATTTTTAGCCAGGTGGTTAGTTTTACACTTCAACTGGGTAGGGGAACTGTTTAATTATCACACTTAAACTGTTTGTTTATTCAGAAATTAAAATCCCCCTCTGCTCCTTGAAGAGGGTGATAATTAATGAATTAACAAGGAAAGCAGCTCCAGCTCTTGCTTTCAGTCTATGCTTGCAAGGGGTGGGACATGCAGTACGCCTAAGCCAGAAGGGCCCGTTTTACTCTGGCCTTCAAAATGGTGGCTCTAGCCATAACACGACAGTGAAATGGGAGCCTCAGCCATGTTCCAGCCATGTAATCAGCTGCTGGGGCCTGTAAATTTGCTAGGTCCCTACTCATTACAATCTATCTGCTAGTTCTGCTAATCTCCCAGCACTTTACAGGTTATGATCCTTTGCCCTTTTGAATGGTCTTGTTCTTCCACATAATTAGGTTACATATTCTACCACACCTCTCTTTTTGAAGCTACTCCTGATAACTTATTTGTGCTCCTACTTTACAGCCTTCCTCCATTCCTTTAAACCAGGGGTGACCAACCAACAACAGCTACAACTGGCATGGGTCATTTCTGTGTGGCATAGCAGATCACACCTGGGAACAGAGCAGCAGATAGGGCAGGGAGCACAGGGAAAAAGGGATTGAAATAGCACTTAGCTTGTCTAACTTCTACCCCAACTATACAGTTAGTCCAATAATAGATATCGGAAAAAACAAACCCCTGCAAAAAGGAAAAATAATAGCAACTTACTGCTCAGGTATTTCCTAAAACCACCACAACTACAAAAACACTCCATCCCTACTACATACCTTTCTATAACTGTTGTACATTCACCGATATGAAGTTAAGGGTGTAAATAAAAGCACAGAAGGTTCATGTTAGTGCACCACTATATGTTCACTGTCACCCAATCAGCATGCTCCTCTTCAACACCACAACTCGGGGGGGGGGGGGGGGGG